AAAAATTAAAAGCTGTAAAATATAAATAGACTGTATTTACTGTCAAATATTCACTTTTTGGAATTTGCTTGAATAAATTTACTTACTTCGTTTTCTTGCCTCTATTTGAGTATTACAATATAACAAATTTAAGCATTTGCTAAAAGTCCTTAAAAGGAGACAGTTACTGTACAAAACTAGTTTTTGTTTATTTTCCACTTACTTTGTGCAATTATATTTTATTCCATTCCACAGACACTCAGATACTTTTCATTTGTGTGACTGCCAAGTATGAAATAATTCCTAGCAATTACTCATTTTATTCAAAAATAATTTGTGATTTTCAAATTACCTTCACTTAATTTTGTACAATTTTCATAGATTAGCCATAGCTTTTTTTTTGCAAATCAAAAGTTCACTTTTGCATCAATTTTTCTCTTTACAAATTTATTTTTACATAATTTTCAAAATTTTTTTTCTTTGCAAACATTTTACTTGCGCAGTTTTACATATTTCAGTACACTTTTTAGAGGAAAGTTAAATGAAAAGAAAACTTTGTTGCATAAGTATTCAAACACTAATATTGAACCTAAACAGAATTAAAGTTGAGTAAACACCAAAATATTTGTATGCAAAATTATTTTTATACGTTTGAAACTTTAAATGAATAAGTGAATTTATAAAAGAAAAGTTAGGTTGTACGGTATTTTTAAACAGTTACGCAACAAATAATGTCAGAATTATTGAGAAAAAATAAAATATAATGGAATTAATGAATAAAAAAATATTAATTCGCATAAATTTATTGATAATGAATATGGAACTAAAATAAATTAAGATAGTAAAGTTAGGATAGCATTGGTTCATCACACTGCCATTTCAAGGCTTAAGCTTAAGCAAAGGAGGGGTTAGGCTTGTTGAGCGAAGTAAAGGCATGTGATAGGCTTAGACTTGTTACAAACCCCACCTTAGATTAGGAAAAAAGGGAACGATACACATTTATGCATTTAATAGACTAAATTCTGCAAAATTGTTTAAAGCTACGATCAAATGCATGCTTTAACTTTACTATTTCCTAGCAATTATATCTCAAGAACTAAGCTTTCACGCTAATTCACCAAAACAATCCACTCTAATGAGATGAAATGGCAATTTGCGAACTTAACTTTGGCTAAATTTCAAGATTTACATAGGGCATAGCTGTAATTATATTGCAAATATGACAACTCATGCAAAAATTACCTTCTAACTTATGTTAATTTTAATATATTTTCGTTATAATTATGATAAATCAACACTTTGATAGCTTTTTACAGTAACTAAATTCAAATATTTCCTGTTTTTCTTACAATAATCAATGCAACGATTACTAGTTTAAACCTCTACAGTAATTGCTAGCTGAGGTCAAAGTATTATTAAAGAATGTAATGTAATTATTGATCACATTTTGAGATAAGTAATGAAAAAAATTAAATTATAATTTCACATTTTCCTTTGGTTTCATTTTTTGATAAATTTGATAAAACAAAATACACATAAATAAATTGAACAAAATCGTTAGAAAGCTAACATTTTGCAAGAATTAAATTATCTTTCAATTTGTGGATATTTAATGATCGCAAGAAGCTTTAAGAGATAGAATTATGCACAATTCCATCATCTATTCTGCAATAATTATAATTTCTAGCAGTGAAAAATAAAAAAGTGCCTGACTTATCTCATCAGAAAGATAGCAATTTATATGCATAAATATGCAAAAAATTCAGCCATCAAACATTTTAGCAAAATAATATGCAAATTTTAATAAATAAAATTATGCTATCTATTGTAATAAACTGTTATTCTGCGATGTAATTCAGAAAATCAGTAATTAAAAATTATTAAACTGCTCATAAAATTTGAATATTTCTGCAGTTTTTCAAAAGTAATTGATGTAATTGTTGTTTATTACTTCATAATTATTTTATTATCAATTATTATGAATTAATATTTAAATTTGTATTCATGTACACAGCTATTAACTGCAGTACAATTATAATTTGTTATTAATAGCTGTCACTCAATAATTTCGCATTTATTATTATTATAAATGACTGGCTCATTTTGTGCATTAAGATAATTTGTGACAGCCTTTATATAATAATTAAATGATTATTTTTTGATATGATATTAAATAAACGAATTTAAACATTTACTATAATTCCGACAAATTTTACGAAAAAAAATATTCAGAAAGATCTATCAAATATGCATATTCATCGCAATTTGTATTTAAATTTTCTTTGTTGCTAATCTCTTCTCTGTAAAATTTAATATGAAATTAAATAGAAAGTATTGGTGCAGAAAACCAATGTTATTACATTTCAAATGAATAAGTAATAAGTAAACGAGTAAATAATAAGTAAAGTTTGTGTGTGAAAGTGCTGAAAACAATAGGCCATAAACAAGGTAATCCAATACAATTTTCTCACGCAAATTTTATTCACTTCAAGTATTAACTATTGAATAATGTACGATATTCGTTTATTTTACTCGCTTAATTACTATTATTATTATTTGAACTGATTTAAGAAAAAGAAATTAATGAGCAATGAATTGTAAATTTGTAAATTAAGTACACTCATTATTATCTCAGTACTTTTTGCTCTATTCATTTAATAAATCTTTTTCAACCATACTTTTATAGTTATTACTATGAACTTTATGAATATTTTATAATACTTTGTGGATGTCTTCTTCGCGCTATCCAAATTATGAACTTGACCTTTCATAGAGAAGAAACAATACAATCTATATAAGCAGGAGATGAAATGCATACAGTTTTTGAGAATTATGCGCCAAATTGAAGGAAAATTTATATCGAAAAATTAAAAATGTTACGATCAGAATTTACAAAATTTGCTTACAGCAAAAATTCTAAAGACATTAAATAAGAGTAGAATAACAAAGGCTATAATTTGCAAAAAATATTAATCCACAGTGAATACTTAATATTTGATTCCAATCATAAAAAACTGGACTCAAACAAATGATTGCAAATTAGAAAACTTGGCTACAAAAATTCTTGCTCCTTATATTTTCCACTGAATCATTAATACAAGCTTTGTAAGATGGATGAAGCATCATAAGAGTACAGAATTCCCTGTAAAAATATTTACAAATACTATTTGGATTTCGATCTTTACAGTATAATCAAGCCGTCTGTATGAGCGCAGAATGGAAAATCAGAGCGAATTTCATAGAACTTTCGTCTTGCTATAATTTTCTTAATAGACTAAGACAAGGCTAAAATGACTGATAAAGTTAGTTCACTCTACAAAAAATATGTAATTTGTATAATTTCAGAGCAAAATCGAAAAAGTAAAATATAGTTGTAGTCAGAGAGGTAATCATTTCACGAATCCATCTACATACATAATGTAAATTAACATAATGTACTCAAATGGCCTGTAGGTTTGATTTGTGGGAATATAACCTAAAATTAGGATGACAGATTTATTATTCAGAATGTTAGAAAGAGGAAAATTTTTCAAGGGCACTACTGGTATAATAATTAAGTATGCTTCAAGAAAATGCAAAATAAAATGTAACGATGAAGACATGCTTACCAAACATGAGAAACGATGAAAACATGCTTACAATGAAAAGAAATATGTAAATTAGTACAAATTGCTATCTTTAAATTTCGACTAAAGCTAAGAATTACAACAGTTACTAATCATAGTTTTTGATTGATCAATACATCATATAATTTTATAATTATAAACTTTCATTAATCTTCCAAAGATTCTGAAAATGTTTTGTACTCCCATCAGTCAATGTAAGCCAGTTAATTTGATATATTTAGTACTCTCAATCAGTGTAAGCCAATTAATTAAATATAAACTCTAGCAAAACTTGAACAAAAAATACTTGATTTGAGCTGAATGCAAAATAACGGATTCTCATATCAAAATTTTCAACGACATACACAACAATTAATTTTTCACTAAAATTTGCTTATTTAGACAATTAATTTACATACAAATCTAGAGCATAATTTTGGATTAAATAATAAAATTTTCGAAAAATCAAGTATGAAACGCAAAATCACTACTAAATTGTTTCTGCATATTATATTTAATTTTTAAATGGTAATCCCTGGTAGAGAATGATACACAGCCCATGACAACAAACTAGATTACTTCTCTCACTAGAGTGTAGATACTATTTATTGCTCTATTTCCGGTTTCAACCATTAACCTTTCGTCGTATTTTTGCATACAAAAGGATTACTTATTGAATATGACAGCTATAATGACAATTGTACCACAGCAATTTTATCGGAAAGGCAGGGACTAACAAAAGCTGATCAAACAATTAATACTCAGTATGGAAATAGTTAACTTCTAGTACCAAATTACAAATTCAATACCACTTGCTATCTTTGAAAAGAAACTGTGCATCTTTCCTACTCTGAACATTATTTAAAAAATAGTGCAGAGTTTGTGCAAAAAAAGATCACAGTAATTTCTACAAGTGCATATTAATTATCAAACAGAATCACTGACGTCTCTTGTATCCATAAAATGAACTCCAATTGTAACACTTCCCCAATATAAATTAATCTACTAACTTGTTTTCATGAATATTCTATGAAGAACAGCACGCACTAAAGATGACAAAATTTGAACGATTCTGTAATGAGTTATAGCAATTACTCTTTGACACAATATTGGTTCTGTTAGTCAATTTTACTTCACTTCAACTCAATTTTTTGTTAAGCTGTGCAGCTAGATTCCAATAAATTAAATGACACTAATAAAATAACTACTAATTATATCCATACAAACAGTATACTAATTTCAGTTAATCAACTGAAAATTGAAGTAAAAGTTGCAAAAAATAATGAACCAAGCAGTCTTCAATTTTGTCTGACATTTTCACAGGTAATTATATACTTTGCTGGGAACAAAAACAAGGAAAAATTATCATTTATATTATTATTTGTTACAATAATTACGAGATGCTCATAACAATAATCAGTCGTCTTCATCCACTTTTTCAGTTTCCAATACAGCTTTATCTAATGGTTTGATTATTCGACCAGCCTGAAGAAATCAACACATATCAAATCATTCTAAATTTTAAAAAATACGAACATGTTGGAAATTACGAAGAATTGAACGCTTAAATGATAACCTTTGTGACGATCTGAGGGCGAATAAGTTTCCTATGAATCTTTTGAGGATTCCATTCCTTCCCTAATGGTTGGCGCACTACAGCTTCATAATCTTCTACAGTTGTAAAAGGAAATGGTACCTGAATATTAAATCATATCTTACATAGAAAATAGAGAGAAGCAAGAAAACCTATGCTAATATATTGTGATGGAAAAATTTATTCTTTACCATTATATTATTAACAAAACTTATAATGTAGATTCCCACAACAAATTATAAACATATCCTTATGAATGCATAATTTTTTACGATAAAGATATCACCGATTTCAACTGAATTTTTTCAATGGATGGATCTATTGCTTCTGAAATAATTAGGCCAGTTTTTCCAGAATCTTTTCGCTTTTTCTTCTGAACTTTGACTACAAACCTAGAATTCGTCGCAATGCTATATGCTTTAAACAGCATTAACATTGTAGAAATATATATAAATCACATTTGAGAAATATTCGGAAATTTTTCCTGAAACAAAACTGTCCAAATTAAATCAAACTCCCCAAATTCACCTCTCTTTCTTCTTGTCAATAATTCCTGGTCCAGTCCACGAACCCCAACCGTGTAAGGTCAAATCGATATCTTTGGGGGCTTCAGATGACTCTACAGCTTCTTTTTCGTTCTCAAAATCCCCAATAACATCAACATCCTCGAACGCTTCAGCAATGACAGCTGCTTGGTTTTCTGCTTGTCCTACAAGTAAGCAACACTGTTCCGACAATTACCAAGAATGCTAAATTTTCGTTATTATAAATATTTTTTCCTTATTTTTCCTAACTCCAAGTTTATTTCTAATGCAGGAAAAATTCACCGTCCAAAACTTCTAATGTCTCAACATAATCGGTCGAAATTTGAGGTAAAGACGCAGTTTCCACTTGTAAGAAATGTCTCGGATCCAAAGAAATATCTACAGGTTCTTTCACATCAGACGTCTCCATTTTTCCGCTATCTGAAAAAACATTATGTATAAAAAGTGAGTGATTGCGCCAAAAATTATGATCAAAGCAAACTTTACTTTCTTGAGGAGCTATACCATTAGAACGGAGAACACTTTTGTCTATTGAAACCTCTTTATTTTCTTCCAGGCGCCTGCATTCCTTAAAAGACATAAATTTAGCAATCTAACATGGTACAATTTTTTCATGTTGTCTCCTATTTTGCTTGTAAATCTGTCCACTATTTTAATTTATAAATATAACTGAAGCATGAAAAACAGTAATGTGACTCAACAAAAATTGCAAATATGGATTTTGAAAGTATATTAAGAGTGAGGACAAACTATTTGAGTTGAATCGTAAACCAAGGATTACAGAAAGACAGTCAAAAAATTGAAAAAGAAGTATTTAGTAAAAGAAATCAACAAGTAAAATGAAAAAGTCATTCAATAAATGAAAGTTCTCTACGAGGATTCAAAGAAAAAAGGAAGTCAAAAACAAAGAAGCTAACAGAAGTCACATACAAGGAAGAAGCTCAGTCAATGAAACACATTTTAAAAAATCAGTCAGTAAAATGAACTTGAGAATGAAAAGTTAGTAAATGACTAGTGAACTAAAGAATCCTCGTAGAGAACTTTCATTGACTTGACCTTTAAAATATTTTGCGCCTGCTTTTTTTCTGCTTCCTCGAACAGTTTATCAACATCGACATTTCTGAGGTCAATATTTTCGCTCTATAAATTACGATAAAATTTTTCAAGTTTTATGTTACACTATACATAATTCACGTGGAAAGTCATTTCTTGCTTTTAACAAAATTTCAGATATGAAATTTGATTAGCAAAGTGAAACAAAATACTTTGATTCCCAGCTTCTTTGTTTTTGACTTCTTTTTTTTTGATTTCTTTGAATTCTTAGATACAACTTTTAGGTCCTCGCCTTCATGTCCTTGCTTTTCTTTTCTAAAATCATCAGACGAAATCTGCTCGTTTATTGACTGTTTTTTGCTTTGTACATCTCCATTTGTTTGCGCAATGTTTTTTTCGTGGTGACTGAAATTCTTTTCGTCCTAAAAATCATATATCTCTTCAATATTCCTGAGATCAACACCTCCACTTCATGAATTGTGACATTTTCTACAGTTATGTAACGATTTACATAACTCACGCAAAAGTATACCTGTTCGTCTTAACAAAATTGAACTATAAAATTCAGATACAAAATGATTCTAGCAAACAGAATTAAATACTTCGTTTTTTGGCTTCGTTTTCGGCTTCTTTTTTTTTACTTTTTTCGACTCGTTACACACAATTTTTAGCTCTCTGTCTTGATGTCCTTGCTTTTCATTTTTTGAGTTACCAGATAAAATTTTCTCGTTTCCTGATTGCTTTTCACTTAGTACACCTTTATTTGTTTCCGTAATAGTTTTTTCGTTGCGATCCAAGCCTTCTTTTTTAGCCTAAAGGTCATATGCCTCTTAAATCTCCAAGCTTTTTAAACATGAAGCAGCCTGAGTAAAACAATTAAACAATGAATTCATTTCAACTCAAACTTACCATATTTTGGTTCACAAAGGTTGACGTCGACCTCATAGCATTCCTAGCTTGCAGTGCACTCTTCCGAAGCGCCTCTTGTTTTTTTTGTCTCATTTCGAAAAGTTTTGCTCTCAATTCTGGCTTAGTTGAACCCGTTTCAAGCTCTTGTTCCCTCAGTACGTCGGCTGCTTTCTGCAATTTCGAAATATGAACTGGTCTCTGATTTCTTTACTTCTAGCTACATTACTTACGAAAACACCTTACCTCCAGCATTTCGGAACTGGTGAGATTCTCTGCAGTACAACTTTCATTTTCAGAATCAGAACTAGAATCTTTTTCACGACCATGTTTTTCGACTAACTCTCTTCCTAACCTTATTTGGTCCTCATACGTTTTTTTAAAATCCTTGTTTTTACTTGCATATCTTGCTAAATGTTGAATTTTTTTGCCACCATTGCGATGCTTTAGAGTTGCCCGTTCCTACAACACATTCTTTTACACATTTTTCTTACTTTCTTCTTGTTTTTTCTTTGTCAGAGTTCATTAGAGTCTTGTTTATATTATAAATGAGCATACAAAAATATACTAAAATGCGCTGACGATCGATTTCTTCCAACTTTTTTTTGGCAGCTTCTGGATTTTTGATCATCAATTCTTCGAATTCCTTTATCAATTTTTTTCGTTTCTGACGCTTCAAATGTCGATGATACCTAAAACATAACGCAATATTTAATAATTCAAATCTAATTGAAGATTCCAAACTATTTTAAGATAATGCTTAGTAAAAGAGCACTATACTAGTTTAGAAAAACAATAAGTTGATGTTGAAGAGTTTAAAAGTAAAAATGTCACCAGATACTCACGATTTGCTTTTTATTTTTGCTTGCCTCCTGAGCTTCGCTTCTCGATAACTTACTAAGGCTCGCATTTTTTGCAACTGAGCAAACTTCTCTTTAGCCTAAAACTGATGAAGAATATAAAATGTCTTTGCCACTCAGCTCAAAGATTATGAGTGGCATAACTGAAGAACCTAGCAATTAATTCTACACTGGAAAAAGCTTAGAACGATGGAAAATCTGGAAACGCATAAAAAACGATTGATCTCATCACTAAACACATTTTAGCAAAAAAAAAAAAGAAGCACAAAGAGCAGTCATTAAGACCTGCTTAAGATTCATCGCCCTCAGTAATTCCAATTCAGCTTCGGTGTACTGTTCGTCATCTCGAAGATTGTTCTTCGAAGTGCCCAATAACTCAGCTATTTTAATTTCCATTGGAGTTCTGGGCTAAAATATGAATGGGAATTCACAAAAAAAATCAATCTCCATTTAGAATTACATTTCTTAAACCTGTTTTTGTTAGCTCATGAAAAAACCACAAGTATAATGCCTTCATTACCCTGCATGCATTCTTGTCATCCCGAACAAATTTAACTAAGGAATATAATTGTAATCGAAATGGAATAATCAATAATTCTGATAAAAGGCATCATATATTTTAAACACAAGCCTGGAAAGTAGCAACTCGATCTTTTGCAGTTAATCCAGTATAAGGTTCACTATCAAGAGGAAAAACCAACTGCTCGGCAAGTCGATTTCTCTTCACTAGTGGAACCCATTCTTCTAAATCGTGTCTGAAAACAGATCATAAGCTAATCTGAACAGCAAACATATTTCATCCATGACAAACTGCCAGTAGATATTAATGGAACGGAAACACTTTATTCTTCCCTATAACCGAAGTCTAGCATGCAAGCATTGCTATATATATTTTTGTTCTTGATTTTACGAGAATGATTCGAAAAAGATGGTACTTGATATCACTATATGCAATTGAGCTTTCAATTCTTTCTCGTAACAATCGATGAGATGGGGCCAATAATGTTTTTGGTTCATCCTCTGAACTCCTTTTTTTCTTCTTTTTCTTCTCCAATTTCTTCTTCACATCATCTACGTTCCTAATCCATATAATATATATCAAAAAGTAATACCAAAACACTTTACAAAAGTAGAA